ATTTCCTTGCTGGCACAAGGTCCTGATCTAAAGACGACTTTTTTGCTTCAGCAAAGAAAAATGGAAAATGCACCGAAAAGAGAGGCGAGTATGGGTGTGGGTCAAATGTTGGGGTTACGGTAAGGCACCAGCGGTGTCGCAAATAGCGTCACGCACGTCGCAGCGATGATGAGTCATCATGCTGCCGAGCACGCGAGGAGCCAGTTTTAACGTCAAAGTGCTCACGTCCCGAACTAGACCCAAGTGAGAAGTGTTCAGGCTCGAAACTGGAAGTACTTCGACGGTCGGCCATGAGTCACCTTTGCACGTGTTTAGTTGAGCACCGCACTTGTTGAGAGCCCTGAACGATTTGCATGAATCACGGTTAGGAGTACTGAGTAGATGTCATTCAGGTCGGATCCCACAGACTGCACATGGTCTGGTCGTTGGATGGGAGCCAATACCGCCCACAATATTTATTGCCGTTATGACAACATTGGACAATGCGGTTCAATCGACTGTTCAATTAACCACTTTACACTGAAGGTTTGTTCATTATGATTGAATGCCATACTGGGATTGAAAAGTGAACTTCGTGACAACGGAGATTAACATACAAATTAGTTCGGTGCTATCGAAAGATACAGGGGCATCCTTCACTTCGAAGCTTCGAGAAAGCAGGAACTTTGAGAAAAATAAAAATTGCTCCCGTACCTTTCATTCTTTTATCCCCGAGTGCCTTATGCGCAAAAATTCTCAAGCTAATAAAATATACTTTAGGCACAAAACTCCTCCGATATTTACGGCGACCGATGTGATCGGGTAGATCTGTTCGGTCTTCGAGGAAAAGCCACCTGTGGCTACATAGCGTGGTTCAACGATAAAGACGAAATTGTAAATAGTTGGTATAAGACCAGGTGATGATTGTTGTCCTTTCGTTCCTTGTTTCTGGCCGAGCTCACTCTAATCTCTTCGATTATTTGACATTACCCCTATACTTAGTCATGTGAGCGCTTGACAAGTATCACCTCAGGTACACATAGACAGATTCAAATAGATAAATAACTATCGTTGGTCATCCCGGTTATTATGGTTGTTAATCAATATGGGGCCAATAATACGATGAAACAACTACTCAATATCGATTTTTTGGGTGCAAATAGGGTCACAATGAAAGCTGCGGTAGAAGCGAGCACAAACAGGTAGTCCGCAGGCTTATAACTTAAAAGCTGGTGGAGCGATAAATAGGAGATGTCTCTGTCGGCCTCTTATGGCTTGTTCTCTCTCGCGGTCGCTATCAGCCGGCTGAAACATGTCTAGCTCGGAACTCAACGACAAGAAAAGGGTCCCGTACCACGGGTTCTATTAATTTTTTTTCTGCACTGCTGCTTTATTCACAACCCCCACTTTCAGTTCCAGCCGCGTTCAGTTTATCGTACCATTTGCCTTCAAGTAGATATCGCGAATTAGGCGCAGTCTATAATCTACAATCGCGCGATTGGGCTGTTCCTTGGGCTATACATACCTGATCCTAAAAGTCGCGCGGTTGCGTGATTACCGAAATCGCCAACTGTAATCGCCGCATTAGCCAGTTTTTGACTGTTTGTCAGATTATTTCCACCATAGAGCCGTTTTGCGCCTACACGCTTCCTAAGTGCTTATTTTTCATAGAGATTTATTTACGAACTGGACCATGCTGCTTGTAATGCTCACCTTAAGATCTCAATTCAACCGCAATACATGTTAAGCTGTATTTAATATTGGGAGAGGTTGGGGAGGGTAGCTGTCCCGATTTTATGACCATGGGTAAGTGGGGGACATCAGGGACGGTAGCAAAGTACCCTTAACTCGCAATCAGAAGTAACGATCGGAGATTCTAAGCAAAGAATAAAGAATGGAGAGTGCGATCCAGCCCAGATCAAGCAAGAGCTTCCTACTTTAGATTTCAGACGACAAAATATCAGGAAACGAATAAATAAGAAAAAAAAGGTTGCAAAAGTACCTGAAGATTATGGATCGCAGCTGCATTCTTTGATTCCTAACAGGTTGAGCTGGTCAGAGAAGAAAAAAGAGCACGGGATTGAGGAGGCGCAGTCACCACGTCTGACACGTATGACCCTCCAGTAAAAAGTGCTTCGGAGTACTTTTTAGTGAAGGATCAACGTGGCCTCTGCGTCTCCTAACCCCACAGTATTTTTTTTCTCTGATTAGTTAGGAATTAGGTTTACAAGTTAACTGTCTAACTTCAAGTCAAATTGGTTTTTTTGGTTATGATCTAACTGTAGGTTAAACAAGACTTAATGTGTTGAGAAGCGCTCTGAACCAGTTATCTAAACTGACTTTGGTCTGAGCTAATCTCGACACGTTAAGTCTGAATTAATGAAGGTTTGCTACCGTCCCAGGATTTATCACACATTTTACTCTTCCTTGATCGATAGTGTGACTATTATCGCTTTGATACGTTGATAAAGATTTGAATCGATTTGTGAATACGTCCAAGGTTCTTCATTTTCGTCTGAAATGGTGAGTGTAATAGTCTATGATAAAAATGAAACGGTTCAATGTTAGTGGGACAGGTACGCCGATTTTTTTGATTACGGTAGGCGCGGAATGTATGTGCGCACGGACTGCTGCCCACTGTTGGACGTGATGCTATGGAAGTAACTCACACATTACAGCTTTTCACGCTGTCAAGGTAATCTGCTCAAAAACGCGAAGAGTGTCGGGTGCAGACCATACACCACAAGTGACGACGGCCTCCACAAAATGTAAATGTTTTCTGCCAATGAAATGATTAGCCTGTTGCAGTTGTATTCTATCAGTTGTCACTAATTACAACTATCATTTACCAAAAATCAGCTATCACTATGAACCACTACTAACCAGATTTACTTGGAGGCCGTCGTCAGTTGTGGTGTATGGTCTGCACCCATTTCTCGCTTTTTGAAAGGGGAGGGTACATTTTCCGCCTAACCGTATTCGAAAAACCGAGGTGCCCGTCTCACTAACATTGGACCGGGACTTTAACTCAACCATCGCTAGCATTATTTTGGAATCA